AAGTTAAATGTGTCAATATGAATGAGGTCATCGAAGAACTTCATGAAGTTAAAAAAGCAATTTTAGTTCGATTTATTAATCAAATATCAAAACAAAATAAAGAAATTGGAAACTATTTGAAAGAAATTTTTAATATATGTACGAATCCTGATCGTCAAACTCGTATTAATGTTTATAAAAAAATTTTAAATGAACTTCCATTTGGTAGTATTAAAAGAGAAAAATTAATTGAATACTATGCAAAAATTATGGATTTAGAACGTCGTGTAAGAAAATTTGTTAATGCTAAAATTTATAATGAAAAAATAGAAAATCCACGTAGTACAGCAACAGCTGATCGTCTTGATTATGTTTTTCATCGTATGAAAGAAGAAGATGTACCAATAGAAAAATTGAAAGAATTTTTTAATGAAAATGCTTATGCTATATTTAGTTTAACAATGCATCCAACAAATCCAACATCAACAGATTATACAGTTAAAGGTGGAATTCAATTTGATAAATATTTAGATAATAATATTGATTATGAAGAACATTTAAAATTACTTGAAGATTTACCAATAGTTGGACAAAAGAAAACTATTGAAGAAGAAGTCAAAGAAACAATTGCTATTCTAGATATTATTTATGAAACATCAATAAAATTAAGATTTAAACTAATAGAATCATTAAGAGATATTCCATCTTATGGTTCTGTAATTGATGTTAATACACCAATTATACAAGTATCAATATGGTCAGCTGGTGATGGTGATGGTAATGAAAATGCAAATATTCAAGCATTAGAACATGCTGTTGAATTATTAAGACAACGTATTAAACAATTGTATTTACATGATATACAAGAAATAAAATCGAATAAGACGAAAATTATTGAAGAAAAATTAATAAATAATTCCTATAAATCAATCAATGATTTTATTGATGATATAAAAAAAATTCCAGATACAGAGAATCTAATTTATAAAATCAAAACTTTTCGTTTTCATTATGCTCAAATTGATATTCGTCATAATGCTTGTGATATAATGGAAACACTTGCTCATTTAGTACAAGTCAATGGTTTGATAGATGATTTTTTATCGTTATCATTAGAAAATCAAAAAAAATCTATTGTTCAATGGTTAAATAATGAACAAATAATCGAAAAATTAATGTTAACTGATGATGAACTATTAAATAAAAGTAGTAAAACAGCTGCACGTATATTTGGTCGATTAAAATTAATTAAAAATAATCTTGATATATTTAATAAATTAATAATAGCTGAAACAAGTTCAATAGTTAATGTTCTTGCTGCTTTTTTATTATTAAAAGCATCTGGAAATAGTGTAGCAGAAAAAAATACAATTATTGATATAGTTACATTAAGTGAATCAGTTAAAGATTTAGAAGAATTACCAAATTTAATATCAGAGTTAATCGATGATCCTATTTATCGAAAACATTTATTTTATCGTCAAAAATTAATTCCAATGATAGCTAAAAGTGATACTGTTCGACGTAATGGTCGTGGAGCAGAATCATCACAAGAACAAGCATTAGGAAAATTATATGCAATGCTTGATCAATTCAAAAATAAATATCCTGAATTAAAAAATTTAACAATCAATGGTTTTAGTGGTGGTGGTGCTGCATTACAACGTGGTGGTGGACGTGTTACAGAAGTCGCACATAATCATGGTCGAGCAGCACGTTTTTATGGTGCAAAAACTCTTGGCCCATCATTATTAACAATTCAAGGTCATCAAATGCAAATATTATTTTCTCCATCATCAATTGCTTTACAAACATTACAATCATTAGTAGCACAAAATCTTTATGCACGTGCACAAACAGAATTAAAATCAAATGGTGAACATTATGTTCAACCACGTCGAGCACCAGATGGTTATGATGAAAGAAAAAATATTGAAAAATTTCATAAAATTTGTCAAGTTATGCGTGATACTTATTTGAATTATATGGGAGATTTAGATAGCGATCAAGATCAAAATTCGGGCAATCATAATTTTAATCAATTGTTTACAAATGCACCATGGGTATCAGTTATTTTGGGAAATTTAAGTTCACGACCATCAAAACGTGGTGCTCAGCAATCTAGTTTACAAAATTTGACAGTTCGAGAATTAAGAGGTGAAAATCCCAAATTGCTTAATAATCGTGCTATTACTGTCGAACGAGTAACAGCACATAGTGGAACACATTTTCTAAATTATTTAACTATTTATGAAGGTTTTAAAAGTATTAATGAAGATGAACTTCATGAAATGTATATTTGTAGTAAATCCTGTCGTGATTTTATTCGTAATACAGCATTATCATTACATATGACTGATTTTGAAATAGCTTGGTTAACAATGATTGGTGAAATGCATCCCAATAAAACGGAATTGATATCATTAGCAAGTAAATTTAATCCAAATAAAAATGGAAAAAATACAAATAAAGAAACATTAGCATGGCTTGAATTATATGCATATGATGTTGCTAAATTGGTATATAAATGTATTTTAAATAAAAATCTACCAGATCATTTTGATTTACAATCACCATTAAAATTTGGTTTTTCAAATTTAGCACAACAATTAACAATAAGAGAAGAATCCGATGAATTTGGACGATATGCTCAAGCTGATATGACTAATTTTATGAATAATAATTTAGATTTTGTATTAGGTCCACATGAATGTTTAACATTACAAGCTTGTTATGCAGCTGCTGATGTTGTTAATGCACCTGAAGGAGGATTAAATATTGAACTTACAAGAAGACTGTTTTAAACATTAAAAGAGTAGAGATTTCATCTTATATAACATTGTATATTATGGTCATTTGAAAAACGTCTTTTCAATAAAAATCGTTTCTTTTTTATTGTTTGAATATTTTTTTTTCTATCGTTTTGCTGAGACTAAATCGTTAAAAGTAATAACTAGCATTCAGTGTTCGATAATGCTTTTCTTACGTTAAACAGATTAAAAAAAACCGATCGAACAATAGAGATTTCGTAAAGGTTGTTTATTAAAAGCTAGACTATTATCAATACAAATCAAGAGATTAAAATTAACTCAGTGGGTGATATATCAACTTTCGGCACTAGAGATGTTCTAATTGGTACGAAAACTTTTCAAGTATACAAGAAAATGGCAGTAGGTAATAAACATTGATACAATGAAGTAAAGATTTTCTCATACAAGTACTAAGAGATTGTTTCTTTGCATATGCCTTTCCTTTTTTATTTTAGCCTTGATACATATCAGGGCTAATGATGCTTTCAAATTCACAAAGGAAAAATCACGTGAATTGTACGCGTACAAAGGATCCAGCTTGAGAAAGAGCATTTTCTACGTTTTAGAAAAGAAAAAAAGTGAAAGAACGACACTAGCCATATCTGCTAGTATGACCCTCGTTTATTGATCAATATAGAACAGAATCACATGTTTCTCTTTTATTAACTTATAGAGAAGATAATAAAGAGAAGACTGAATATCAGAAAGGAAAAAAAATTTTTATATTAGTCTTTAACGTATAGATAAATTTCATGGCCTGCATACTTATATTAGAGACAGTTAAAATGTTTTGTTGTTAAGCAAAGGTTGGCTGCTCTCTTTTCTTTGTAAATAAACTTTTGAGAAATTTCTTTTCAATGGTTGGATATGTGAGCAATGACTCATTTATTTGACACAAGCCTAATTTCATCACCACCTCG